GACTTAGAGAAAATATAGACAGTGTCAGCACTAAGCTGACCGTTTCCAAGAAGTATGAGTGTCATGCAAGATCATGAATCTTGCCAGGCCTTATCCCATAATTTACCAGCAGTGATGGATGTCATATGGTGAGATATTCTGGGAACTTAAGTATATACAACAGTCCTGCTTGTCCCAGTACCATATTTGTGTCCAGGCAGGTGCCCCTCCAAGCCAGAACTCTTCATGCCACACACTGTCAAAAAGCACATTCAGTTAAAGTCTCCCTTACTCACTCCCTGGTGCCTAGAGGAAAAAGAACCTTGAGCAATACAACAAGCAACATTTATTGAATATCAGATTGGATTCTGTGCTAGACACTCTACTACACCATCACATGAACCTCTCACAACAGCCCTATCAGAAGACACCAATATGCCCATTTTACAAGGGAAGACACAGAGGCTCCAAGTGCATCCATGAACAGCATTTGAATCCTTGTTTGTCTAGTTCTCAAACTGCTTGCTCTCTGTGCTGCACCATGCTGCCTTGCACTCTCATAAACACTCGCTGTGCTGACTTCCCAGTGGTGGTCACTACCCCAAGGGAAATTTGTGTCTGTCCAAGATATTATGTAAGGATGAGCTCCTCCTTATAAACACTGACTAACTGGTCACTCCTCTGGAAAGTTCTCCAAAGTAGGGACCCAATTCCAGCTGGATCAGGGGAGTAGGTGGAGTATAGATGGTGAACTTGCTTTAAGGGGGAAAAAGGCGTTTGCACCACAACATCCTGGCTGGTGGGGGCTGGAATGAGTGTTCAGAATGCAAGCTATTCATTGGAGACATTTTTTTGGAAGGGTGCCAATGGAGGAAGAAGCCAGCATGAATGATGGAAGGTCAGGGACAGAAATAAGGGAAAGCTTTGCTAAGATCCACCTTCTAGAGAAAAAGACAAATCCAGAAGGCAGTGGGAGCACCTTGGGTCCACCTCTGGGAGGGCAGCAGGGACCAATGGGCAGCTTCAGGCCCCTGGAGCTCTACTGATTCTGGGATCTCGGTCCTGGCTTTGCCTGGCACTTCCTTCCATTTAGGAAGTGCAGGTAAGAAGGGAAATAGAAGACCTAGAGTCCAGGTCCTCATGCTGGCCAGTTTGGAGGCAGGAAATGCTAAGGGATAGTGTGAGTGCCAAGCAGAGTGGACAGCAGGCTGGGAGCAAGGGCCCATGGGAAGACAGTGGAGGCACGAGGAAGGGCTGAGAGGTGTGTCTGTAAACTGGCCCTGAGTTCTGTTCATCAGTCTGCAGGACCATGTGGCTTGTCTCACCACACAAGGGAAATTTTAAGTCTTCACCATACAATCCAGGCCTGGAGAACAAAACACCCTCCCTTCTTGACCCACCAGGAAGTATCAGAAGGAGCAAGTGAGGGGCTAGTGTGATGCGTGGGCTCCAGAATAAAAGCAGGCATGGGAGGCTCAGCAGGATGCAAAGCGGCACCTGTCAGATCTTCAACACGATTTCTGAATAATCATTTGCAGAGAGTCAAAAGCACCAAGGAGACAAGAGTAAACTCGTGTGTAACAGTTTGCTGTACGTGGAAACTCTCTTCTCTTTGGCTCTTTCTAGAACCCTCCTTCTCCCCACCTGGGCTAAAGCCTGCACAAGCTCTTGTCCCACAATTGTGCCATGTACTAGTCAGGTTTCCCCAGAATACAGAATCAACAGAATGGGGATAGATGGATAGACGGATAGACAGACAGATAGACAGACAGACAGACAGACAGACAGACAGACAGAGACAGATTTATTTTAAAGAACTGATTGGCACAATTGTGGGGGCTTGCAAATCTGACTTCTGACATTTGCAGGGCAGGCTGGCAGGCTGGAAATCCAGGAGAGTTGATACCGCAACTCCAGTCCAAAGGCCACCAGGAGGCAGAATTCCTCTTTCAATAGGGGAAGTCAGCCTTTTTCTCCTGAGATCTTTAACTGGTTGGATGAGGCCCATCCACATTGTGGAGAGTCAGCTTCTTTACCCAAAGTCTACTGATTTAAACATTAATCTCATCTAAACCAATACCTTCACAGTGACATCTAAATTGAAGTTTGACCAAACATCTAAGCACCATGGCCTAGCCAAGTTGATACATAAAATTAACCATCACATATTGTATCACAATTTACTGTTTTTTTACATCTGATTTCTAAACAAGATTCCTGCCCTCAGGAAGTTCCAAGTCTTGTCAGGAAAACAATGTCTACTGCAGTACATGGCCCCATCAGTGGCCCAGTGAATGCTAAATTACCCAGTGACCCAATTCACTTAACAGCATAAATGACCAACACTGTTAAATGTGCATGTGGAGGACCTCAGGAATGAGATTCTGAAAAGGCAGGAAGCTCTATGGTGCCTGCGTGTCCCTACAGTGAAGTCCAGATTGTGTGGAAAAGACAAATTAAAGTTGCAGAACTCAGCACAACTCAATACCATTCTGGTTAGTGAATTAATCCCAAGTATGACATGTTTAGAAAGGCTTCTGTAAGAAGGGCCAATAAGCCAAAGAAAAGCAGAAATCATCAGATAATACTCCCCATGGAAGAAGAGATTTTTCCCGGGAATAGAGCTGATCACTGAACATACTGGTCCATACAAGTGTCTACCCCATCAGACGATGAGTTTCTGGTCAGTTGGGACCACATCTTACTCAACTCTGCTCCCTAAGCAGCGAGCACAAGGATGGTTAGTATATTGGACATTATACTTTTGTGTGCCCACCCGAGCTATCCTCCTGCCCTGCTCTACTGGAAGAACTTGTCTCCCAATTACAGGCTGAAAATTGAAGATGCTTACTTTCCCAGCATCCTCAGCAGCAAGGGGTGCCATGCGACCAGTTACAGCCAATGAAACAGAAGGAGTTGGCTGGGAGGTTCCGGGAGGGAAGTCCTTCTCTAACAAAGTCACAGGAGTGAGGAGCAGTTGTGCGAAGATGTGACACACAGAACTCGGCAACTTATCTAAACCATTAGGTAGGAAGCCTGAGGAGAAAATCTCATCCCACTGAGGGAAGTGGAAGGGGTGGGTGAACAGTGTGCAGACCTGTGATGACACCAGACAGCCTCTTCAGAGAGCCCCCTACCTATGGACCACTTAATTTGGTGGCACTTTCAAAATATATTTAAAATCTGACTCTCTCTCTCACCATCCCCAGTACCGCCACGTGCCCCAGGCCACCACCTCCTCTCCCCACAGGGCTCCCTACTGCTGCTGTGGCCCCTCCCAGGCTGTTCTCTGCACCGGCAGCCGAAGTGAACTTCTATGAACTTCAAACAGATCATGCCACTGCTCCTCCAGGACCCCCTGAACCTTCTCTTCTCACTTTGTGAAACAGCCAAAGCCTTTACCGCACAGATGAAGTCCTCCACAACCTGGGCCTCGCCGACTTCACTGACCTCACCTTGCACCACACCCATAGCCTAGAAGCCCCTCAAAGACACAGAGCACACTCCCTTCCACGAAATCTGCACTGAAAGTTCCCTCCTTCTGAAAACTGCCTGTCTTCCTCCTTTGCTTCCTTCAGGTCTGTGCTCACATGCCATCTTATCATCAAGGATGTCCCTGACACCCTGTATGAGAGCACTGTCCTGCAGAACCATCTATGACATGGAAATGCTCTATAACCTGAGCTTCCAATACAGTAGCCACTGGCCACATGTGGCTACTGAGCACCTGAAATGCAGCTAGTGTGCTATGGATCTCAATTGTTATCATTTTACTTAATGTTAATTAATTTAAATTTAAAATATCCACGTGTGCTTAGTGGCTACCCTATTGATAGCGCAGCTCTACGGAATAGCAGCTTCTCCCTGCCACTCTCCCATGATTCCATGTTCCCCTTACCTTACTGTATTTTAATGTGCTTATCATTATCTAATGTACCATAAAGGTATATAATTATGTTTCTCATCTCTCTCATTTTTTAAATGTAAGCCCCACAAGAAAAGACATTTGGGTCTGTTTTGGTTACTATGGATCAACAGAGTCTAAAGCAGTGCCTAGTACAGGGTTTGCATTCAATGAGTATGCATGGATTGGATTAGTAAATGCAGCGAAGGAGGAAAGGAAGGTGTCTTGGTCTATCCAACTTCTTAGGTCACATGTCTCGTGCAGCTCTACGAGTTTTAAATAGTCTAACCAAGAGTGTGTGTGGTGCTGAAATAGCAGGTCCCTGGTCAGCCTTCAGTTCAAATCCCACTTATGATACTTCCTGCCTATGTGGCCCCTGCTCCGTCTTTCTAAGCTGCACAGACTAACTTTTACATCTAAAACTTAGGGCCATGTTTATTTTTCTGTTGTACCCTTAGCACTCAGCACAGTGTTTAGCACACAGTTAGTGTTCAATAAATATTCATTAACAGAAGGACTTGACTCCTTTCTCCCCCTACCCCATATCCAGCTTTTCCATCTGTAAAATGGAAAGAACACTAGTTCTGAAAAAACATAACAGAATACCTGGCATTCAATAGGTTCTCAAAGCAATTATTGCACCCCCAAAATTTCTGAGTATGTGAGAACAGACTGGGGCTTGACTGGTTTTCTAAAAACTCCTGCCATCTTCTGGTCTTCTACACCCTTTCACCAAAAATAGTCAAAGATCACAAACACAAACTTTCCAAAACAATAAATGTCTACATTGCTAGAAAGAGCTGCCTTTGTGAGGTTCATGGTTTTTTTTTTTTCCTACTTTCCTGATTTAGATTCTCAAGGAACAAATGGCAGTGGCAATCTTGAAATAATTACCATTATAATTCACCTAAGCCAGGGCTGTCGTGGTAACTTAATTTTCAGAATAAAATTACACCAGACCCAAAGGAAACTATTCAGACTTCTTTTCGCATTCCAAGTTTGTCAAATCGAAATCTTACCGTCAAACAGGATATTCCCAGTGCCCAGCAACCAACACACAGACACACAAATACACACACATACTTAAGCCCAGTGGGCTAGGCATTCATATTCTTACCTTTCCAAAACTCCCTTTACCAATGGCCCGCAGAATCTGAAAGTGGTCAAAGTTGACTGCAAAAGAAAAAAAACAAAAGGACACAAGTCAGATTTGCTAAACCTGGTATTGCTCCTTGAATATCCTTACCTGTCTCCTTACCCACCTATTCCAAAGGCTCCTGGGTCGGGTGCGCTATACTTGCCCGAGCAGCCGTCCACCCCTGAATGGATCCACAAGCGAATCTGCAGCACATTCCACTTGCTCCCCATCACACGCATGGCCCATCTCAAGTCTCCCCTTCACATCACGCTTCCCGACGGGGCTCTGCATTCTTGCTGCTGCACTCTCCACCCCCTGCCTGGCTTCTCCCCGCTTCCCTACACCAGCACAGGTCAACGATGTATGGCCTTGCCAGGAAATCCCATGGCCTCCTCCCCTCCTTTGACTTGTCCACCCTCTCAATGCTGCCTTTCACACTCCACTTCCCTCTGCACACACAGCCGTGTCCTCCCAGGCTTTAAATACTGGAGTCTGTCAAGCCTTTGTCCTATAACCATTCTCTTGCCAAGGGCTCCAAAGGCTGCAACGACCACCCGGTTGGCAGTGAATCTCCAGTGGTCTCTGGCCTTGGCTGTAGGTGTTAATGCCTGCCCCATAGGTCCTCACGGAGGTTCCAAAGCCACTGTGAACTCCACAGATCCAAAGCAGAATGCAGGATGAATGCATTCTGCTTTGGATCTGTGGAGTTCACAGTGGCTTTATACTGAGTACTGAATACTGAGTACGCTCAACATTCACCAAGCGTACCCACACAAAACCCAGGACTTGTTCTTGACTCCTTTCTCCCCCTACCCCATATCCAGTCTTTCATCAGGTAGCTCCAAATCGTCTCTGTACTGTCTCTCACACCCATCCACCCCGATGGCCACTCCTCTGGTCTAATCCACCATCTTCTGTCTTCTGGACCACTGTGGTGGCATCCCAACATCCTCACTCAACGCTTCCACTCAGGGAAATGTGTGAGTAGCTGAGTGATCTTGCTTGTGCTCTGTTTCTCCCCTCCGATGCCTGCTCCATTGCTCTCAGAGGAAAAAGCAAATCCTTCCCCAGGAATGCAGGGTTCCAGCTGCTTCTCCTGCCTCCCCTCCCTGCTTACTCCCATCACCTACTGCCAGACACGTAGAGCAGCCACTTCCAGGCCTTTGGTGCTCCCCTGCTGGCCCTACCCTTATTCTCTCTGCATCCCCAGAAGGCTACCCTCACCCTGCAGACTAAGTCTGGCTCCCTACGATACACTCTCATAGCACTGTGGAACTTTCCCCCAAAATACATGGCTTTGTATAATTTTACCTTTGTGTATTTCATTAAGTTCACTTTTCCCTGCTAAACTCTAAGCTCCCTGACTTCAAGGGCCATGTTTATTTTTCTATTGTACCCTTAGCACTCAGCACAGTGTTTAGCACACAGTTAGTGTTCAATAAATATTCATTAACAGAAGGAATGATTGAATGAACTGATCTCCATATTCATAGCGCCCAACACAACTCCTGGTACATAATAAGTGTTCGGTAAATATTTGTGAATTAGATTGAATTACAGCCAGTTTCCAATAACTAGAAAAGACATGTTATTTAGAAAAAAATGAAGCGAATTGATTAGTTCACCACATAATGGAAGCAAGAATGTGAGGAAGTAAATGAATACAATTAGTTCCTTGTATATTAAACTTAGGCAATGGAGGATAATTATGTTGAGTGGTGTCCCTGCCAAGCCAAAGTCAGAATCCAGCATGCGATCGAATGCCTAACGTGCTTAGAATAGAAAGATGGGGTTAATGGTTAACTTACTAAAACCTTGGTTCTTTGACTTAGATTTATTTCCTGTCAGGATAACTTGCCAAGAAAGAAATTCCATATTTTCACCTCTTACTCACCAAAGGTCAGAGAAGAGGAAAAAAGCAATGAGCGTGGACTGCAGCTTGGCATGTAATCAGCAGCATGCTGGGAAATGCACATATCCCATCCAGAAGCTCCTGAGGTCCCCACGGGGCAGGTACCACTGTCAGGACCTCAAATCAGCATTGAAAATCACGGGTTCCCTGAAGATACCATGCTGCTACACGCTGCCATATCTTTGTGCTGCTGTTCCCCTCACCTGCAAGACCATTTCTCCAACACCCCTTATTTTGGGGAAGACTTTTCACTGGCCTTTGACATGAAGCCATGCACTTGCTCTCTTGTGAAGCTTTTCCCCAACCCCCAACTAACCATTTCTTTCCTTAGAGGTAACACTGCACCTTCTGCAGACATCTAACAGTTTGAGGGAATATGCCCCGGAGTCAGACTGCCTGGGTCCACAACACAGCTCGGCTCAGTCAGTGTGTCCTTAGCCGCATCATTTAGCCTCTGAGGTGACTGGATTGGAGGGGAGGTGCATTCTTATTTGTAAAACAGAGGAAATGGAGCCTACCTTCCATAAAGAGCTCAGAATTGTGCCTGGCACACTACAATCTTTCAAAAAGTGCTGGCTCTTTGTGTTAGGGGGTGAGGAGCATCCCCTCCCTCTTTTCGTGTTTCTTCCAGTTGGGATATTGCCTTACACATTGGTGGCCTTTTGCCCCAGCCAAGGTGGTGCAAGTTATCCCAGTGGTGAACTGGAAAAGAAATGGGACTGGCGTATTGATGCTCACTGTGCCCTCTCTGTGGAGTCTGTCTGACTTCGGGGGGCGACCTCTCTTCGGCTCCTTCTTGCCGGAAGCTTTTCAGGACCAGCTGCCATGTGGAGAGGTCTATGGGGTCCAGATTTGATATTGGTCAAGTGGAAAAGTCCAGCTAATTCTGGGCTTCAGCATTAAGGAGCGCATGATTCCTGCTTTCCTGAGTTACCTTCCTTAGCTTTATCACTCTAAAGGTGAGAGTTCGTTCTCCATCAGCCTCCCTGTCTGTCTTGTCTCCTAACTGGAGGAAGGTGTTAATTACTGAGCAAATGGTCAAATGCCAAAAGCCATTATTACCTTAATAATTAGTGTTATCACATTGTAAATATTCCCACTCATCTATATCCCCTACAAAACTGTGGGCTCCTTTGGGGAAACCAGCAGAATGTATGGGGCAAAAAGGCACTTAATGAATGCTTGTCTGCTTATTGGACTAGATTGGATTTAGGTGACATTGAGCACACGGCCTGTGGTACCTGTTAATTTGGCGTTTATCTGGGGTGTACTACACTTATACTTACATAATTGCACATAAAAGGAGACACTTTGAATAAGTTGAAAGTTAACACTTGGTTGACAAACAGATTAAAATGGCTTCAGTGAATGAAAATGCCAAGCCAACAATGGGTCCTAGAATCACACTGTCACCTGAGGCTGTTTGCCCGGAGTAGGAAGAGTTGGCAGGGGGATGTTAGAGGGTTGAAGAGTTTCTTTGGGTGACCATCTTGTCCTGGTTTCCTTGGGATCTTTCTGGTTTTAGCAGGGGAAGTCCGGCATCCTTGAAAACTGCCATGTCTGGGGAAAACCAGTTGGGCACCCTTGGTTTCTGATCATGCACCCATTCCATCTGAGGAAGCCACAAGCACTGCTTGGGCTGGCAGAGTGATTGGATTAGAGGTGAGGCACATTCTTGAAAAGTGGTGTCTCACCACCAGACTCAGAGACAAAGGGTGATACTACTGAAACTGTATCACTAGGGTAGAAATGGGCAAAGCACTGCTGCAATAGTAAAGACAAGGAGTGCCAGTGTCCTTGCCAAAAGCACAAGGACAGTGGCACCTGCCTTGCCAGCCATCATGAAGACAATGAAACAACAAATTGGGAGTGTTATTTGCTCAGCCATTCTCAATTTTCCCTTCTTTCTTGATAACGAAACCCCACTCTCCTTAGGGATCACTGTGGCCCGCCACAGGCAATGACTTATAAGTTGCCCATCCCCAGAAAACTCCTAATTGATCAAATCCAGTGGCATTTTCAGAATCACCTGGAACCTTGTTAAGATAGATCAGTGGGTACCACCTCCAGAGTTCACCTCCTGAATTTCTAAGGAGGCATTAGAAAATCTGCAATTCTAAGAAGTTTCTAGGTGGCGCTGATGGTTATGGGACTGCACTTTGGGAACTAAACTACCAATCTAATTGATCTGGACAATCACGTTCCCTACCTTTCCAGCCACTGTGCAGCCAGCAATGACCCTGTGACCCAGATCTAATTACTGAGATCTAAGCAGAGGATTGATGGAGACATTTTTGGGAAAGCATTTTTTGTGTATGTGATGAAAGGGGCACACTGAGCTAGAGTGGCCCTTCAACCCTCCTGCTTCTTCCTGTCTTGAATGTAGACATGATATCTGGAGCTGCAGCAGCCACCTTGTGACCATAAAGCCAAAAACATGAGCAAAAGGCCAAGACGGATGCAGGGAAGCCACTCCTTGTTGTGAGCCTCTGAACACGTGCCAGCAACTACTTACCTTGGGACTTAATATATTAGGAAAAAAGAACAAGACAATTTTATTTGTTCAGTGGGCCAGGTTGGCTATTACTAGAAGCCAGGAACATTCTTTCCTGATACTCAAAGCCAGGCATATAGCAATGGCTTACTAAATGCTAACTATTTTATTGCAAATTTCAAGCCCCACTGTAATTTTACTAAGAGGTCAAAGAACAAGAGTAATTTGGGACAACGACATAGTAGCCAGGCTCCCTGGATCCGAATTCTCACTCCACCACTCAGTGGCTGGGTGATGTTGGGGAAGCCACTTAGGCTCTCTGTGCATCAGCCGCCACGCTTATATAATGAGCATAATAAAACACCTACCTCATAGTGTTGTAAATGATGTGTTAATTAACATAGGCTGAACATTTAGAATAGTACCAAGCACGAACTAATGGCTCCAAGTATTAGGTATTACTATGGATATTAGTCTATTTTAGTGGCTTTTCCTCATATTTCACCTTGTGATACGATACTGGTCTGATTAACTCATGACAAAACACTCCATGACTGATAAATCTGAAAGTGTGTTAGTGCCAATTAGTTACTGATGGTGATTGATCGCACTGGGTAAATCTGGTTGTC